TCTCTGCTTACTTCCTCATAAAGAGAAAAGAGATTTGTTTTGTTTTTTTCATGAATGGATGTTGACTAATGCTTATTACTGTGCATTGTATTCTAGCAGATACAGTTGTGTGTGGCCCCGTACCATTCCCTCTGTTATCTTCCCTATAACAGACTTGTAGTTACGGTGGGAAGACTTTGGCCCATTTCAGAATGTAGGCATCGCTTTCCTTTGCACGAGTCCATTGTCACCCATCCAGTCATTTAAGGGTCTTTACCAAGTAGATGGCTTAGGTATAACTGAGCTCAACTCTTTTAGGACTCGTGGGTGGAAGCCATCTTGTCCTAGGTGCTTTATTTGCCTTTTTCTTGTCCTGTTGCTTTCGGATCATGTAAATGCTGAGCCATCGTGGTTCATTGTGTCCATAGTGTCCCCATATTGTGCATCATCCCCACCACCAACCTTCCTTTGTAGAGTGTTCTAGAATATGTCCGTGCTATATAACATCTGCTCAGTCCTCATCATATTTTCCCCTCTTCCCTCTGTCCTTCCCCCATCCCCTCAGAAAACAAGCGAACACTTCCCTTGAGTCTGTCCAATCTCCATGGAAGTATACAACTCGCAGATCACAAATGTTCTGCTTTATGAATTGTGTCATTCTCCACAGATGGGGAAAAATCAGCTTAAAGGAGAACTACGGGGTCAGGGCTTTTCCCCATAGTTCTCCTCAGGGTCACAGGAGGACACAAACTAGCGTCCTCCCGTCACCCTAGGCTCAGTATATAGGGAGCTACAGCTCGCGGTATAATGAGACGCCGCAGCTGGGACGGATCCCGACAATTCCGTCTGGATCTGCCCAGCTGCGTGATTGACAGCTGGCTCTGCCTATCTAGAGCTGTACCCTCCCCCGTCCGTTCCGCCAGTCAGAGCTGGAGGATCGGAGCGGGGAATCCCTGCAGGGAGTTGTGAGTGACAGTCACCGCTCACTGCAGGGATAGGATCGAGAAGTGAGCTAGCGACGGTATGTGTTCCTGGTCTACTGAGCCGACCTGTGACAGTCTCATTGTCGCAGGTCGGCTCAGATATCACCTCATAGTTCTCCTGTAAGGAAGTCCTCTTGTGACTCTTGTGATTCAGACCTTACTACTGTCTAGCATTTGGGAAAAGGGGGTTCAGTTGGACTTGTGGTAGGGTACAGGTCCTTCCAAAGTCTTTCCGGGACTTTCTCTGTGGTGGGCTGGCCTTTGCGTGGTTGGGGTGACCGATCTTGAAGTAGGGAAAGAGATTGCCGGAGTCTTGGAGAAGACATCAGGAACGGCTGGCCATCAGTGAGGCCAAAGGATCTGGAACAGCTTGATTGGCCGGTGATTGATTAGACCATGTAGGACAATCGCCATATGCTGGGCCTGGGAAGGACACGTCCGGCGGTGGAAGACTGAGAGGACACAGAACCCCTTAAGGGCAAGAGTGCCTAGATGTTCCCCTCATGGTGGTAGTTTGGTGCTGATCCTTAGTGGAGCTCCTTATCATACCTTGTTTGTCGTGCCGGGGCAGTGATTGTAAGAAGGTGAGCGTCCTGAGAGTAGAGACGACCTCAGTGCCCTCTGGGAGGCTGTAAACTGCACTGAAAGAGTTATTAATCCCGGATTTGCATAACTTTGCTCTTATTACGGGAATTTCTCTGGCAGCCAAGCCCTGTGCAGACACTTCTTGTCTAACCAGAAGCGGCCACTCTACGCCCAGGTGCAAACAAACACAGAGGGGTGGAGACCCAACAGAGAGCTTCCAACTAACCCGGATTATATAATACGAAACCTTTCCAAAACCTCAGCAGAGACAACCCGAGGAGCCGATTATTTCCAGTTATACCCCAATTCTGATCCGAGGGCCCCACAGTCCGGCTAAGGGCCCCAGTCTTCCTCTTCTCTACATTCCATTACCCTTCATGGTCCATACACTGAGTGGCCAGATTATTATATACACCGAGTGGCCGGATTATTATATACACTGAGTGGCCGGATTATTATATACACTGAGTGGCCGGATTATTATGACCCCCCCCCCATCAGTACTTGGTTGGGTCGCCTGGACACCACATCTTCAGCAACCATAAAAGCCAGAAACTGCCCCGGACGTCTCTGAAGCTTTTTCGGTCACATCCACTCCCACCTTCCACCAATGTATCTGCTCTTGACGGGCTACCAGCCCAGCGATTAAATCCAACCAATGACTGAGCCTCCAGTGAAAACCAATTCCCCTGCAGAACAATAACATCGTATGAGTGAAGATATGCAGTACAAAGAGCATTTCAGGAGAGAAAATGAGCGGAGATTGCTGAGAGTTGTGGATGGAACTTCACGGAGAGTCATCGTTATATATATAATCCTATTTTCTGTTGTTTCCGTTCTCTAGATGTTCGCAGTGAGAAGACCAGAAACCCATTCACCACTTCATCAGGACGTGATTAACCCGAAGCGCCCCCTATCACCCTGTGTCCCCAGTCCCACTTTCCAGTCATCCATGACCTCATCCCCCTTGTCCCTATCACCCTGTGCCTTATCGCCCCGTCCCCTTTCCCCCTCGGCTCTATCTCGCTGTTCCCTATCACCCACAATGCCTCTTTCACCGATCTCGCCTCAAGTGGACAATAACTGCTTCCTAAAGTGTCTGATCAATGACCAGGACCTGCACCTGTCGGAGCGTCTGGGGGACGGCTGCTTTGGGGTGGTCCGCAGAGGGGAGTGGAGGATTCCCGGTGGGGTGACGGTGAGTAGCCCCTCCCCTTTATCTCTGCCAGTTTCCTAAGTTCTCCCCCTCCTATCATGTTCTCTCTCAAGCACCTACTACCTTTTTGCAGGTGAATGTTGCGGTGAAAACCCTCCGTGCGGACTCCAGCTGTGACCCTGAAGCCCTTCAGGATTTTATGAAGGAAGTGAATGCGATGTACAGCCTGGATCACCCGCATCTCATGCGACTCTACGGGGTGGCTCTGACACAGCCATTGAAAATGGTGAGTGACTGGCACTCTGCTCAATGGGGTAACACAAGGGGGTGTAGTGACTGAAGGGGGCTATGAGTCTGTCCTCCTCCTGCAGGGTGATACAGACAGAAGGGGGCTATGAGTCTGTCCTTCCTTCTGATTGGTTGCAGAGCTGTGATGCATCTAAATGTATACTTAGGACTTCTTGTCTTCCTATGTTGTGTTCCAGGTTACAGAGTTGGCCCCTCTCGGATCCTTACTCAGTCATCTGCACTCTTATAATGGCGTGTATTCTCTGCAGCTCTTGTGGTCATATTCCATCCAGATCGCCTCCGGGATGAGCTACCTGGAGAGCCACAAGTTCCTCCACAGGGACCTGGCGACTCGCAATGTATTGGTGATGAGTGAAAGGGTGGTGAAGATCGGAGATTTTGGACTGACGAGAGTTCTGGCGGCAAATGACGATCATTACACCATGTCTGCTCACCGCAGGATGCCATTTGCATGGTGAGGATGGAATAGTTGAAGGTTCTATCCTACGTTGAGAGGCACGGGATGCTAACCAATCCCAAGGTTTGTTATGTTTGCCGTAATCACAAACGAGTCCATGTCTTCCTCCTGTGTGGCAGGTGTGCTCCAGAGTGCTTGAAGTTTGGCAAATTTTCACACTCAAGTGATGTCTGGATGTTCGGGGTCACCATGTGGGAGATTTTCACCTATGGACGGGAGCCCTGGTTGGGCCTGGCTGGGAGACAGGTAATGGATCAATCCTGCAGAGTGTCACCAATCACCTCCCTAGTCTTGAAGTTTGTAACTGTCTCCGTTTCTGCAGATTTTAGCTGTCATTGAAAGAGAGGCCGAGCGTCTGGAGTGCCCTGATGACTGTCCTCCCGCCTTGTACAACGTGATGATGAAGTGTTGGGCATACATACCAAAAGAGAGGCCAAATTTTACCACCATCATCAATCTTCTGAGAGAGGTGAGCGATCTGTCAAACGTATCACGGAGATCCGTCTCTAATATTGTCCTCTAATGCTGAAAGAATGGTCTCAAACACTGCCCTCTGGCATCCCCTCTAACGCCTTGGTCCTCAACTGGTGGGTCGTGACCCAAAAGTGGGTCGCGGCCCCGTGTTCAGTGGGTCGCCACATGCCTTCCACTTTTCTAAGTGAGAGGCTCCTCAGCCTCCCCCTAGCGCAGCGCTGTCCGTTCTCACACTGAGCAGCCATTCAATATATGCTGCTCGGCGCCGAGTGTCAGCTTGAGGTGAGGCGGGCTGGGGGTATGGCAGCGAGGGAGCTCCAGCCATACATGCATTGCTTACAGCTCCCTCGCATGTCCTATAGAGGCACCTGGACCAGAGTAACTTCACATTCTAGCTCACGGCACCTCTACAGGGCACACAAGGGAGCTGTACAAGCAATGCACATATGGTTGGAGTTCCATCACAGCACAGAAGCCCACACTGCCGTGCTTTCCGTTGCAGTGCGACTTGGGTTGCGACCTAATGACCGAGGACAAATGTGGGGGCTAAGGTTACACAGGTTGAGAACCAGGAGGAGCCTCCTTCGGATTGAAGAGATCTGTCTCTGTAATCTGTGATGGACTAGGATGACTATTTACCATCTTTACCCTCTACTCATATGCTTCATGGGTCCCGGAGGTCTTTGATATTGCCCTCTACTTTGATCTGTAATGGATCAAGGACGTGTATTTCCCATGATTGCCCTCTGTTATGATCTCTCATGGATCCCGGTGGTCTTTCTTCTACTTTGCACCCTTTAAGATACATCCAGGAGATCTGAGAGGTCCATCTCCACTTTTGCCCTTTATACTAATTTCAGGAGGTCTATCACCAGGATTTCCCTTTACGCTGATTTTTGGCAAGAGAGCTTCCACCAAGTATGATGATCTGAGATGTGACACTGAAGTCTCAGTCATCATTTCCTTGGTGCGGCACTCCGATACTCTTTATTTATTACATGACCTGTCTTGTTAGTTCTTTATTTCATAGCCAATCTCTTCATTTTTCAGGGGAAACCACTAGAGATTCAACTTCTTCAGGAAGTTAACAATCCCCCCTTGCTGCTCCTGGAAGCACGGGACATTGTCACTGTCATTGATGCTGGGTAAGGAAAACTGTCATTACTGGACATCATTCATCTTCTACAACTAAGTATCTGTCTGTCTTTCATTATTTAACATCTATCCTCCAGTATTTCCTCATCCGTTGCTGGTCATTCTTTATCCAACCTTCCTTTACCACCTCTTACCTTCCCTTCACCATTTATTATCCATCATCCACCGGCTTCATCTGGAGGAGGCCACGGGGGCAGCAGGCCAATCAGACCGACCTTTCATTTGCCTTGTCATAGATTCTAGTTTTTCCTGTGGGATTTCAAAGTGTTCCTAGAGATTTATTCCTGGACCTGGGTTTGCCTTCAGGCCTCCTCCATATGTTAAGCTGACTTGGACTGCGCCAGCAGAGGAGATATACAGTATATGAACCAAACCAGTCACATTTCCAAATATTTCATTTCTATGAATCTTTATATGGTCATAGAAATTCTCGATCAATGTTTCTAAATCCCTTCCCCACAGGTTGAACTCTAAGTTCTGGAGAGGACAGAATCAGCGGACTCTTAAGATTGGATCTTTTCCCGCCGCCACTATCCGTTCAGAGGACTTTGCAAATGCCCGTGACTCCGTGCACTTGTCCAATTGTCTGGAAAAGCGTTCTCTTCGGAATGATGACTCGCAGAAAGAGTAAGTCTTGTACCGTCTCTGAGAGAAGGAAGTCATGGAACTTCTCACCTACTCATGAGCTCTTGTTTTTTTTTTTTTTTTCAGCATGAGAGCTAAAGCTCTTCACGTAGAGTGTTCACGTAGAGGTGGTCATGGTCAAGCTAAAGGTGGAGATTTATTGCCACCTACACAACGTAAGTGTCTCCGTGCATGTGGTGAGAATAAACCTATCCTCATCCCTTTCCTTTCTCCTAGCCTTATCTTCCCCTCAGTTCCAATTCATTGCACATTTTCATCTTCCAACCTCCTTCATTAATTCTATTTCTTTTGGTATCTTTTTCCCATTCTTCTCGTGTCTTACATAGTTACATAGTATTTGAGGTTGAATAAAGACATAAGTCCATCAAGTCCAACCTATTGCTGATGTATATAGGTCCATGTATCATCTCATTTTTAGGAGTACTTGTACCCCTGTATATTTCCTGTCCCCCTGTATATTACCTGTACCCTGTATATTACCTGTACCCCTGTATATTACCTGTACCCCTGTATATTACCTGTACCCCTGTATATTACGGTCCCTCAGGAAATCGTCCAAAAGTTTCTTGAACAATTCCACACTCTTAGCTGAAATCACGGCCTCTGGCAGCGAGTTCCAGGCCCTGACCGCTCTCACTGAGAAGAACCCCCTTCTCCCCTTGTGCTGGAATTTTTTCCTCACCAATTTTAGGTGGTGTTCTCTAGTCTTTGTTACGGAGTTAATCTTAAAGAGTTTGTTGCTAATGTTGCCGTCACCATTGAACATCTTGTACATGAAAATCATGTCCCCCCTTAATCTCCTTACTTCCTCTCACATTCTCCTATGTTGCACCCACAGGTATGTCTGTAAGTCTGGAGAACTTCCCTGACTGTTGGTTAAATGGCAAGCCTCATAGTCAGCCCTCACCTAGGCCCTCTAGGCAAAATAAGGAGTGCACAGCATTTGCAGCCCGTGAACTGTCTGAAAGAAGAATGAGTGACCAGCCCCCGCGGAACTTCGTAGGCAAACTCCACTGTCCAGCTCCTCCCAAAGCAACAGCCTCCAAGAATGGGTTTCTGGCTCTGCCCACCATGCATAACCCCGGTCAGTGCTTCAGCAGCAATAAGAAAGATAAATTTCCATCTACCTCAGCCCTGGATACAGCAGAGATCCTGATCGTTCCTCCGCTCGTACCAAATTGTACATCTCCAGGAAACAGATGCAAGATGACAGACAGTGAACTGCAAAGAAAGATCAGAGAGGTGAGGACACCAAGTGGCCTGCATGTTACTTAAGAACTTGTCCAAACATTTTGGGTGGACTGGGATAGACAATTCGGGTGGGGGAGGTGAAGTTTCATTAGTTTGCAGTCCTGGGGGCCTGGTGGCAACCACTCTTCCGTCTCATATGAGACCCCTCTGCCACCCCTTGTCTCACATGATTTCTTATAGTCTTCTGTTTGGCACATAAAGTGACAGAAGGAGCTCAGAACCAGGAAACTCTATGCGGGGGACCCTGAAGTGGCAGAGTGCAGTAAAGAGGACAGACTTTCATTTGCCTTGTCATAGATTCTAGTTTTTCCTGTGGGATTTCAAAGTGTTCCTAGAGATTTATTCCTGGACCTGGGTTTGCCTTCAGGCCTCCTCCATATGTTAAGCTGACTTGGACTGCGCCAGCAGAGGAGATATACAGTATATGAACCAAACCAGTCACATTTCCAAATATTTCATTTCTATGAATCTTTATATGGTCATAGAAATTCTCGATCAATGTTTCTAAATCCCTTCCCCACAGGTTGAACTCTAAGTTCTGGAGAGGACAGAATCAGCGGACTCTTAAGATTGGATCTTTTCCCGCCGCCACTATCCGTTCAGAGGACTTTGCAAATGCCCGTGACTCCGTGCACTTGTCCAATTGTCTGGAAAAGCGTTCTCTTCGGAATGATGACTCGCAGAAAGAGTAAGTCTTGTACCGTCTCTGAGAGAAGGAAGTCATGGAACTTCTCACCTACTCATGAGCTCTTGTTTTTTTTTTTTTTTTCAGCATGAGAGCTAAAGCTCTTCACGTAGAGTGTTCACGTAGAGGTGGTCATGGTCAAGCTAAAGGTGGAGATTTATTGCCACCTACACAACGTAAGTGTCTCCGTGCATGTGGTGAGAATAAAC